AACGGAGAAGATATTAGAAGGAAGCAGAGGAAAGAAGCAACGGCAAAGGGGGAAATGGGAAAGAAACACTCAGAGAATGGAGAGGGACAAATGTCAAAGTAGAGGAGAATAAATAAAGCAGGTGACAAAAGAGAAAGAGAGGGAGCTTCAGCAAGTTTGCTGATGATAGATACCAAACTGGGAGGAGTGGCTGACACATCAGAAGTCTGTGCTGCCATACAGAGAGACCTGAGCAGGCTGGAGAGTTGGGTGGAGAGGAACCTGATGAAGTTCAACAAGGGCAAGTGTAGGGTCCTGGACTCGGGAGGAATAACCCCACGCACGAGTACAGGTTGGGGGCTGACCTGCTGGAGAGCAGCTCTGCAGAGAGGGTTGTCCACACTGGAGCAGTTCGTGGAGAACTGTCTCCTGTGGGAAAGACCTGGAGCAGGGGAAGATTGTGAGTATTCCTCGCCATGAGGAGGAAGGAGCAGCGGAGACAACGTGTGATGAACTGACCGCAACCCCCATTCCCTGTTCCCCAGCGCCACTTGGGGAGAGGAGACAGAGAAGATTGGGAATGAAGGTCAGCCTGGGAAGAAAGAAGGGGTAGGATAAGGGGAAGGTGTTTTAAGATTTAATTTTTATTTCTCATTACCCTACTCTGATTGGATTGATAATAAATTAAATTAGTTTTCCCCAAATCGAGTCTGTTTTGCCTGTGACGGTAATTGCTGAGCGATCTCCCTGTCCTTATCTTAACCAGCAAGCCTTTCGTTATATTTTCTCCTTCCGTATCCAGCTGAGGAGGGAAGTGATAGAGTGGCTTGGGTGGGCAACCACACTCAGTCAGAAAGAGTTCTGTGTGTGGCACAGTTCTCCAACACTGAACTGTTAGGTGGAGCAAGCAAACTCACTGGGGAGGGCACTCCCATCTGAACAACAGCACAGTGCTCTTCAAGCTGGAGCTGGACTTTAGGCCCCACTCTCTTTTATTTAGATATAAAGAGAGTAAGTGGCTTAAAAATACAATCGGGACAAGCCTGGCATTACCCTGGCTGTCCCCAGAGAAAGGACAACGCGCTGTGATCCGGAGATGTGCCCCACCATTTCAGGTCCCAGTACACATCAGAAGAATCACAAGCAAATGCTGTGATGTGAAGGCACAGAATTGGGAGGGTGGTCTGGTGCATGGACAGTGAGGTGACAGCAGTGGACAAGGAGTGACTTCTCGCGTGCCTCTCCTGAAACTGAGGAGAGAAGCCCATGGTAAGACCTTCTTCAGTGTGTGGTAGGATGCCAACGGCACAAAACGGGGAGGCCTCTAAGGGTGGTCCAGTACTGCTGAGACTAGTATGAAGGTGTTCATAAATGAGACAAGAGACACAGTACCATCTCAAGATTAAAGCAGTTAATTTCTGTCTAAACCCCAAGATTCTAGCAGTGCCCAGAGGAGATGATGAAAAGGTTTCTTAAACTGAATTTTTCATGGGTGGCTTCTAGCTGTGTGTACTTTGGTTTTGGTGCCTGTTCCAGAAGCACAAAGGACCTTGCGCTCCCCACTGCAGTCAGCCACAGTGCTTTGAGCCCATCAGGTGCTAGAGAACACAGGCTGAAACATCACGGGCATCTCAACCTTGAAACGTAACACTTCAGCTCAACTGGTCGGCAGTGTGCCCAGGCAGCCAAGAAGGCCAACAGCATCCCGGCCTGTATCAGGAACAGCGTGGTGAGTAGGACTCAGGAGGTGATCGTCCCCCTGTACTTGGCACTGGTGAGGCCCCAACTTGAGTCCTGCGTCCAAGTTTGGGCCCCTTAACACAAAAAAGACATTGAGGTGCTGGAGTGGGTCCAGAGAAGGGCAACGAAGCTGGTGAGGCGTCTGGAGAACAAGTCTTATGAGGAGAGGCTGAGGGAGCTGGGGGGAGGCTGAGGTAAGACCTTCTCTCTCTCAACTCCCTGAAAGGAGGGTGTAGAGAGGCAGGGGTCGGTCTCTCCTCCCAAGTCACAGTTGACAGGACAAGAGGAAATGGCCTCAAGTTGTGCCAGGGGAGGTACAGATCAGGTATTAGGAAAATTTTTTACACTGAAAGTGTTATTAAGCATTGGAATGGGCTGCCCAGGGAAGTGGTTGAGGCACTGTCCCTGGAGGTATTCAAAAGATGGGTTGACATAGTGGTCAGCGATGTGGTTTAGAGATGTGGTTTCTTGGTTTTTTTGTTACGTTGATGTTAGGTTGATGAGTTAGGTTGATGGTTGGACTAGATGATCTTAAAGGTCCCATCCAATCTTGACAATTCTATGATTCTATTAAATATCTGCCACAGCTCTTCATCTGCTAAAGGTTACCACACACTGAACAGCTGGAAACAGCAGACCACAGAACAGGTATTTGTTAGGCCTAACGCGGTAAACTAATCGAGGGCCCTGGGACATACTTCCTCCCTGTAGCAGCTCAAACCCATCAGGAGAGTTAATGAAGCCACGCAGCACAGGCATCTTGGACCTCCAACAGGAGAGCTGGCCTTGCAGCACGGCTACAAGGACCCAAGTGTGAAGTAGGTGAGTCCAGCCCTTCAACGACACTTCCAAGTTTTCCAGCGTGGTGCCGCACTGTGCTGGCTGCTCCTGTGAAACAGTCACCTGCAAACAAACAGGTTACCAAATCTGTCTGTAGAGCAAGCCAGCACAAGGAGGCATAGCTTTGCTGAAACCAGTGGGCTTCCTCTTGCTTTTGCCGGGGTTAAATTTGGTCCATTTTCTCAATTTCAGGGCTGTTAGACAGAAGCAATGAGTCATCAGTCCCGCCGAATGCAATTTCTGTGTGTGAGACATATGCAAGAATAGTAACTAGGTGAAAAAACCACATGTATGCACACTAGTATGAAAGACAACTATTACTCAGGGGAATTCTGTGTTATTCTGTAGAATTCTGTTCTTTGGGAAATGAAACCTGTCACAAGTAGCTCATGACACAGAAATACTTAGTTTTCCAATGTGACAGGAAACGAACACTGCTTTTTTTTCCTTTATGGCAAAGATAGTGCCATGGAGTATCACACAGCTACACTGCTTCTGCCCTGGTTTTACACAGAGCAGTAAGCACCCTCCCATCTTTACTGTATAGACTTTATTTCTGAGAAATACACCACCCGGATCTTTATGAGTAATGGAGATTGAGCGGCAATGCAATCTTTCAGAAATAAGCTGATCAGTATATATACTGTAACTAGACAGGAAAACAGAACTGCAGGTTTCAGAATTAAAATGGTCTAGCAGTGAAGACTTTTAATATGAGAAAGGGGCTATTGTCATTAAGATTTACAGAGTAGAGCGCTGAGGAAAGGGGAATGTAGAATTCCTGTCACACTCATGAAAAGCAGGTCCAGCCCCAGTTTCTTGAGAAACCTTCCATGTCACCGTAACTGCCAGTATCTATAGACTAAATACCGCTATGAGTGCATGGTCCACCAGTTCACTCTGTCAAATATATAAAAAAATCTGCTCTTCCTTTTCAAAATGTCACCCTGCTACTGGTAAATCCCACGCCAGCGCTGCCTTCCCCCATTGTCACAACAGCCCATGGCCCTACCCGTTGCTAAGGCCGTTACGCTCGCGCCCCCATTTTCCAGCCTTTGCTTGAGGTTTTGGTGATGAGACATACCAAAACTGCAGAGAAAGAACAAAGAGTCCCATTGTTTTTTTAGGTTTTTCTGGTTAGGTTCTGTGCCTATAGTTGACAGTCCCATTTATTTTTAGGGTTTTCTGGTCAGCTCTCCTATCTATAGTTGAGAGTCCTGTTGATTTTTAGGGTTTTCTGGTCAGCTTCCGTAGTTATAGTTGAGACTCCCATTGATTTTTAGGGTTTTTTGTTTGCTTTCATAGCTATAGGCAACAGTCCTGTTGATTTTTAGGGTTTTCTGGTCAGCTTCCGTAGTTATAGTTGAGACTCCCATTGATTTTTAGGGTTTTTTGTTCGCTTTCATAGCTATAGGGAACAGTCCCACTGATTTTTAGGGTTTTCTGGTCAGCTTTCATAGCTATAGTTGAGAGTCCCATTGATTTTTAGGGTTTTTTGGTTTGCTTTCATAGCTATAGGCAACAGTCCCATTGATTTTTAGGGTTTTCTGGTCAGCTTTCATAGCTATAGTTGAGAGTCCCATTGATTTTTAGGGTTTTTTGGTTTGCTTTCATAGCTATAGGCAACAGTCCCATTGATTTTTAGGGTTTTCTGGTCAGCTTTCGTAGCTATAGTCAAGGGTCCCACTGATTTTTAGGGTTTTCTGGTCAGCTTTCGTGTCTATAGTCCTAAAAGGGGCTGTTCCTCTGCAGTTTCACGGTGTTTGCTCAGCGCCCCACGCAAACAATGGTTTTTAGGGTTTTCTGGTCAGCTTTCGTAGCCATAGTCAAGAGTCCCACTGATTTTTAAGGTTTTTTTGGTTCGCTTTCACAGCTATAGTCAACACTCCCATAGATTTTTAGGGTTTTCTGGTCAGCTTTCGTGTCTATAGTCCTAAAAGGGGCCGTTCCTCTGCAGTTTCACGGTGTTTGCTCAGCGCCCCACGCAAACAATGGTCTCGATATCTCTCTTGTATTGAGGTGCCCAAAACTGGACACAATACTCGAGGTGTGGCCTCCCCAGTGCTGAGTACAGGGGCACAATCACCTCCCTACTTCTGCTGGTCACACTATTTTTGATACAAGCCAGAATGCCATTGGCTTCTCTTTTTCTTCTCCCTTTTAAGGCACCAACAAGGCCGAGGGCGACCCAGGGCCCTGCCTGCGGCCACCGTTGGCGCCCCCCCCGCCGCCTCACGCTGAGGCGGCCGCGCGCCCCGCCCC